CTGACCATTCATCTTTTGTCATTGCAGTACACAAGTGCAAAGATAGAGATGATTAAGTTGGATTCAATTTGTACAAGTGAATTAAAGGTGAGGTGATTAATTGCACAGAGGTCTTAGTGAGCAGCTCATTATTCAAATAGGAAACACCCAGGAAGAAATATGTGCTTCAATAATAATAATAAAGATGGGATGGAGGAGGGGGTTAACACAGTCATCACATAAAATATATTTTTCCATCTATTGGAAACCACAATAGAACAGAATCTTTTGAAGGAAAAAAAAAGCTCAGAAAAATAACTGCATGTACACTGTGGTTACTTTTCAGACAATATTGTACATTTCTGACAAAAAACTACTTCCTGACGTTTAAAAATGAGGACTCTTCAAGCTGTGGAATGCAGACATACATCATGTCTAAAAGATGGAGGGGGGGTGGTAACAGAGGAGGAAGAGATCAAATGTAATATTTTCTTTTAGCACAGACAACTGCTTTGAGATTTTCTACCCAGACAGCCTTGAAAACTGCCTGCAGCCTTTGCCAATTACTACTGACAAATACCACTTGGTCCTGAGTGATGTTTTAAGTGAAATAAAACAGTGAGGAAAACTGAACATGATGAAAGGAGTTCTTCTCTTCTCCTCCATTTTTTCTTCCTAAGAGGCGACTACAAAGTTATATATTCACAAGCTAAGGTATATGCTTCCTGTCCATGACAAATTCCATGTGAAGTTGAGAGCCGAAGCAAACTTTGTTTGACAGTAAGAGGAAGGGAAGACAAAACTCATTTTCATGACTTCTAAAACATTTTTAAATGTTAAACAAAGAAAAAGAAGGTACTATAAGGCCCTGCTCAGCATCATTCTTCACAGTATCAGTAAACTAATGGAGAAAAATGATTCCTTCCCCTCTGTGCATACAAGAACCTTTCAACTCTTGACACCCTAGCCCAAAATGCACCATTCAGCATTACAAAATGCTTTTAGTACAATAGATTAGTTAACATTAAAAGAAAATTCGTTTTGTGATTATCTTAAATGAAGATACATACACACACACACACACACACACACACATGTATGTTATCATACAAGTATCACTGAACGAAGTGTACACTGTATTCTTGTCACCAAGAATTCATTTCTTTCCTTAACTAAAACAAAAAAATAAACTTTAATTGTCCTACCAATGGTTGTTGTGTCCAGATAAATGTCAGAACAATTTCAAAACTGTGGATTGTACTTCCCACAATGCCTTGTCTTTTAGCCATACTGCCTCGGGATCGATTGACACTGATGTTCAAAACATCTGAACGAAACCAAGTTACCAACTTGATCATCTCTATCCTCTCTCCACATTTATACAAAACATGTTTGGAAAAAATAAGCAGGAGTGGAAGAGTTGGCTAGACTAGAAGAAACTAACAAACAATTTTATATACTTCCTTTTTCTTTCTTCACAGAATGTGGAGCAATACAAGTAGGCCTCAACATACAACTGTAATGGAGCTAGTCCACTACGGTTACATATCACAATGGCCATTAAGTGAGATGGCCTAGCTTAAGGACCCCCACCTCATTCTCCTTTATACGAGTGTGGCATGGGGTCCCTCAGAGGTGGGAGAGGCCCCAGGAGACTAACTTTATTGTCACTTTGAATATACACTAATCGGCATACATTAAAATGAAATTTCATTGCATACAGCTCTCAAAGGGTCACCACCTCCAATATACATTATATAAACACATAAGGCATAGCGCAGGTCCATCTCTATCTCCCAGGCATGCCCCATCTCCCTGAGATCCATTGCTTTGCTCCCTGCCCCTTGGGTCCCTGAATGCTTTTCTTCCCCACCCAGGGCCACGCAGATATTTCTTCTCCAAATGGGTCCCCACAGGCCTTCCCCTCCCCCAAGTCCCTTCCCACTACACGAGCCTGCATACCCTCCTCATTTACCTTTTGAAGCTGTCCAGAGCTGGAAGAAGTCACTTTGTCGGGCAGCCACATGACATGATTCCAGAAGCAGATGTCATTTTCCCAAGCCCAAAAATCCAATGCACGAAAATATCAGATAGCTTGAAAGCTATATGGTTTTCCCTTTCCCTATCCCTTTCATAGGAAAGCTGGTATCCGGTTAGATGCACAAGTTGATTAGTGAAATATTGGTTTTCAAGTTGTGATCACAGTATTTTTCAAAATATAGAAACTAGGTAACCACTATGATAAACAAGCTTTGAACTTTGAAATTAGCTTGCATATCAGCTTCATTTTCCTGAGAATGTAACTACTGCTTGAATTTGGGACATTTTCCTTAATTTACAAAGCCCTAGCTGTATGAGCTCAGAATACTGCCATACTATCTAATCGCATGACTTCTATGGTAAGTAACATTAAATATTACCTGGAATGAAAATCTTTTTAAGAGTAATTTTGCACACTACAGGATTCATAACAATTCTGTCTTGAGTTGCAGAAAACGATCGGGAAAAGGTCATTTTAAAGATAGCAAACAAATATATATTTAGGCATTAATTTTAATATTGTAGAAAAATTGCAGTACACCTGCACCCCCTAGTGTACACTTTGAAAACATTTGAGAAAATAATTTTCACATATTTTTGACTAATTTACATGTTTGCACTGTTAGATCACAGCATAACCAAACTGAAATCAAGTACTTTAAAAAAAAATTTTTTTTCCTGATCTGAGAAACAAATCCCATTTTCTTTATAATAGAAAGCCTTTAAAAAAAAAACATACATAGATATATTACTAACACCTGTGGTTTGGACCCTGAATTTCACTTATTTCCTTTGCCTCCTGAACTTGTAAATGCTTTAGTTTTGTTAATTTTGTTTTGTTTTCATATTAATTGATGTTGCTAATAGATGCATATGGAAAATATCAGAATAGATGCCAAGACTGAGAACTCAATTTAAGCAAGGGTGCCTGATATGTTATATTCCCAATATGATTTCTTCACTTCTAGTGTAAAGCCAATTATTGTGTTTTAAAAGCCATGTGATAGTATTGTGAACTGGGCTACTTTCGTAAACTATGTTTAAACCATGTTTTAGACTATACGGGCCTAAAAAAAAGATAAAATACACATAACAAAAATATTTCATATTTATAGTCTGTTCTATTGTGAATGTAATTTGTACCCTACGCCTTACCAAAGATAACTCCAAATATGCCAATACCTCAGCTGACTATAGAGTTGGAAGAATCCTTAGATTCTCTATTCCAGCCCCCAGTCATATTCCCCCAATATCCAATTACTACAATAAATTCATCAGATGAAAAACTATCAGCCAGGGCTAAGGTTAAATCAGTAGGTAGAAAGTAAAGGGTAGATCTCTGTCAACAGGAAAATAATTCAATGACTAGTAGAAACTGGAAAACCATGAATTCTACCCTTCCTTAGTCAGCTAGGTCATTCCCTGAATCCTATGAAGAAGACAATCCCAAAGTACTTCTAAAAATCTTATCAAAAAATACCCTACTCTTGTTCATGTAGTCACCAGAATCAAGGCTTACTTGAAAGCATAAATGTACCTGTGTGCACACCCATGTTACCTGGAATGATTTATCATCATGCATACAACTTTTGTTTGGGCTGAACCTTACATTCATTTCCCCCCACCCCTCCACCAATTTTACATCCACCCATAAGCTCAGGGATTCTTTTCAGTGTGTAAGAACATTTAAGTCAGAATCAAAAGTTAAACTTTTATGTTTTTCAAACTATCTGTGATTCTCTTGACTACACCACAGCAATATTACAAATTTTTGTGTGCAATTTATGCAAAAATGAGAGTGCTTTAGGGGAAGTAGCCTGTAACCTGTTTATAATCCTTGTGACAACTTTAACTTAGTTTGCAGTTTAACAAGCTAGACAAGTTTTACTTTGCCATGTTAACTTTTTTATATCCTCTTTTATTCTCTTCATCTATATTCACCAATGCTGTATAATGGGAATTATTTCATATACTCTATGCTATGAAAATGCCCATTTCTTATACACAGCTTCATATTTCTAAAGAAAAATTCACTTCCAAAAACACCAAATCACTGTCCACATCACTTACAGATCTTTCCCCCTAGTGAGTGTCATCTTTTGACATTTCATTCATAATGCACTTAAAAGCTTTAATTAACTAAGTTTGAAAGTTGATACTATCTTATCTTTTCCTGAATGGACAGGTCTAAAAGCACTAACCCATGATGAATGATTACCCTATTTTATAGCTGAAACAGGGAAACTAAAAACCATTCTAATGATAGCTGTAAAATGATATCAAAGAACTTCTGAGATCACCCATATTCCTCTTTTCGTGAGTATCATAGCCATAAGAGCTAAAAACACAAAGACCCACAAAATAGTTTCTACTGTCATAATATGTACAACAAATAAATTTACTTTTCTATACTGTTATATACAATGTATTTTTTACAATTTGTTTTAGTACATTTAAAATTAGCATCACTCCCAAAAATATTCTTTGCACTTTTTAAAAAAGTTGAAAGCAAATACTAAATCACATAAAATATATTTAGCTTCGCCATATACAAAACTCTGCTCTCTAATCTCTTAGATGTATATACTAAAATGATTGACATTAATTTATGTAGAAAAACTTAAACAGCTATTTGTTAAGGCTTCAGAAAAGAGGTAAAATCAGGCTGCTATTTTTTACAGCAGCATTAAACACAGTTGTGAATGATCTTCTCCAGTAGTTAAAATGCAAACTGTACATCTGAACTTAATGATGCCATTAACAAATTCAAAATTTATAAAATGTGCAGGCTAGAAGAGAAGAAAACATGTTTAAATATAAAAGTGGAGATGAAGCAGTCTTAGAATTGTGGCATTTTAGGAAACCAGAAATACAAGTAATGAGTAGCACTCTAGTCTCAGCTGTGCAAACTGCAAAACAGATATGCATGATTCACTAGTTCTAAAGTGTTTGCAGACATAACCTATTTTTGATGCAGTTACATCTAGTGTTTTTCAAGAACCAAATGAAGGCTCCTAACAAACTTCATGTAATTATTTCTCTAGTCCATATCTCTCAAGAAGTCCAGTTTATCTACTCCAGGTCAACATGTATCAAAGGGGTAGCCAGAATCTAAATCCATCAGCAGTCTAAAAGAAGTTAAAATTCAGATGACTTTCCTTAATAAGTAAACAAGCAGAGATAAAAAGATGGTGTTTCAGAGGGGAAGCAATTTCCATTATTTTCCATCAGCCTTTCATATTCCACCATTGCTGAAGAAATTTTACCTCAGGGGTGTCAAACTCATGTCATCACGGCAGCGTCACATGACATATCGTGACTTTTGCTCCCCTTTGCTAAACTGGACGTGAACATGGCCTGTGTGATGCATCAGGCCCATCGGCCGCGAGTTTAACATCCCTGTTCTACTTCATGAAAATGAAATTAATTTCTCTGAAGAAAGGTGTTGTGATCCTAAGAGTTCTGGGAGTACCCCAAGACTGTCTTAGAGATCCACAAAAGCAATTTGCCAGCCTATTCTGAAAAAGAATATTAAAATCCCATTGACTAATTGTGAGAATAGGTAGCATCAGCAAATGCATCAATTTTAATTTTTAAGATGGTGAACATTGGTAAATAATAGTCCATGCAAACAAAAACTTTTTGAGGACCTCTATATTTTTTTAAAAGTGGGAAGGTTAATAAACATTGCTCTAAATCATCGTTTAGACTACATATCCTTTTGGCCTCATTATTGCCCTTTTTAAAATGTTTTGGTCCAATGTTTTCTCTCTGATTAATGCAGTCTTACTTAAAGGACTTTAAAGATCTATGCATTCTTGGTTTGTTTGTTTCTTCTGTTTATATTTTACAAAATGTTCACGCTGAATATTAAGTTGTTTTATTGTTGCAGGGACTAGCACAATTTTGTTTTGGGAAAATTACATGGTTGTGGAGGATAAATGCTGAAGAATCTCATATGAAAGCTGCAGGATTCTTAGATTTTCTGTATGCAATGCTTCCACCAAACCCAGTTGATTCACAAGATGTTCATAATGATTTTTTAAAACTGAAATCTGGAAAGAAAAAACAAAATTATACTTTAAAGCTCTCTGGTTGTTAAATAAATTTACTCATAAAGTCAAATTTTCATTTAATATTTTAAAATATTTATATAATACAGTAATTGTTCAGAACACACAATAATAATAAGTGTAGGATGGCAGATTCTACTTGATGTTAGAGAAAATTGCCCAATAGTATTTGTTGTTATGATAGGAGAACTAACCACAAACACTTTTATCTGGATTACTATAATAGAAAAAAGTTGGACTCAATAGTTTTAAATAGTCATTTCCAGCTTTATTGTTGCAATAGCATGCTGGCTGTGATAATGAAAAACCTTACACCTCTAGTTTTGGGTGACACTGATCTATTTCAATTTATTTTACATCTCTAGAAAAATTGCTACGAAGTCTAACTTGTTAATATGCAATCTCTAATAATAATAATCAAGTAATTCATCTATTCCATTATTATTAGGAGTGCAGTAAACCAACATTTTTAACTGCTGCACAGTTGAAGAGTTCTTTCTTCTTGAATATTTATCAGAGCCAAACATCTTCTCTATAAATTCCTGACCTTTACTGGCTAGAGATAAGCTGATATATGGCAGGACACTTTCGGCTCTAAGAGGAATCTCATTTTTTTTAAATCTTAATAATTTAAAACATTCCACTCTCAAATTTTACATTGGAGCAGTTAAGTATTAAAAGTACCTTCTGAAGTACATGCTGAGTTTCTTCCATCAATGACATACATATTTTTGTTGCAAAAGCCACACTCTTTTCTTCATTCTTCCTTGAAGCAACATCTCCAAGCACTACTTTTTTCCATAAAGTACTAGAGTTATAAATTTTGAATATATTTGTATGTATCAGATACAAAGCAAGAAAATGACATTTCAAGTGACATTTACTCAAATGAATCATTTTCAGCAAATGTTTGCAACTTACAATTCATCTGCTTCAAGACATAACAATTTAAGGGCTGTAAGAAGTGTCCAAGATGGTCCATCCCAGCCAAACGTCAGATCACTAGGAAAAAAAGTATTTTTAAAAAATCTAAATTCAATTGATTTCATATCCTAAGAGAGAAAATACTGTCTTTCTCACTTCACCAACTGCCTCAGTACTCCATAGTACTTAAAAAAAAGGAAAGGAAAGGAAAAACAATATACTAAACACATTCACTTAGAGAGCTACTATCCAACTATTGATGCAAATTAATTCTGAATTACATGAACTCTTAATATGCATTTTCCTATAAAATTTCCATATATCCCGTCCCTAAATCAAAAAGTAGCAGTCCATGATTTTATTATTGTGTTTATAGAAACAAATGTATATAAAATATTGACTAACTACAGTAAAATCTGTGTCAGGAACAGGATTATAAAGTACACAAATTTCTTAAGTTCCAAACCATGCATATTAGCACAATCTTCAACTAAGATACATTGCAGGATGTGTTCCAGTGTTAAGCAAAATTCCTGTGTTTAGTCAGGATCCATCCAGAAGCAACAAACCCTGCACAAATTTATTTTCATTACTTCAAATCCACAAACAAAGTTTAATGCGAAATCTTCTAAACTTATACTATAAAGATGTAAAGATGACTTACTCTAACAACTTGTGCTCTCGTAAAATGAAAAGTTTCATAGATTTCTGTTTGTCTTCTGAATAAATATATTTAAGCAATGTATCTAAAGAAAGTTGAAATAAAGTGTTTAAAACAAATAAAAGCATTAATACTTTTGCAACGCTGATATTTTCAGCATTCTGTACTAGTTAATATTATTAACATATCTATTAAATATTAAAGAAAAGTGGTGCAGTGGCCTGAAGATGGAGCTCTCGCCTCACAAATCAGGAAGCTGTGAGTTGGATCCTAGGTAGGGCAGCTATTTCTCTCTCTGGGTACAATGAGTAAATATCAGCTGCGAACCCTGCATTGGCAAAAGGAAGGGCATCTGGCCAGTAAACACGCAGCTCCTTTCAGTTGTCCCAACTCCACCCCAATGCAAGGGATTACAGGGTCATTAAAGGATCTATTAGATATTAAAGAAATGAAAATATTCTGTACACGTATTCTTGTGGACACAAGTCATAACCCACAGTCTGAGAACCCGTTTAAGAATTTTGTGAAGGTACATAAGGATATCACAGGAAAGGTTTGAAAAAAAGCAATATCACCAAAAGGATTGTGGGCTAGCACTTTTTTTTATTCCCCAGCATCTCATCCTAGTGTATCAGACTACTTGTAGGATTCAATTGTAGGGAACTGATAGTATCCAAAGGTCTAAGAGAAAGAGATGGGCTTTCATTGTTCTAAGATTTTCTAGCCATAGCCTTACCTGTACTAACATGCACACAGCTGTGGGGATTATCAGAAGCCACAAAACCATATTCTAGAAGTAGTCGCTGGTTGTCATGAGGGCCATAACAAATATATACTTCTTTGTATTTCTGATAGCCTAGATGTGTTTTTATTTCATAACATTTTGTATTTTCATTAAATGAAGCTTTCACCTGAGTATGAGAAAAATTAAGTTCAAGAGAAATATATCAATACATTCTCATTACTGAACACATGATCCTTGGATCAAACCCTACACTTCTAAAGGCCCGTTAGGCCCACAAAATAAATATAATTGGGGGGAATTAAATATATTTACTAATAAGGCTAGAAGGGATCAATTCTATGTTAATTATATCAATTACACAATAGCTTGAAGCTTTCTTTCTCCTTCTATACTTGAACAAGAATGTTTTCTAGGTAGTCCTTGATTTACAACCATTTGTTTAGTGACTGAAGTTACAACGGCACCGAAAAAAACAACTTATGACCGTTTTTCACATGGAAAAGGTATCCCAGTGAAGAAGCATCCCAGTTTTTCACACTGAAGAAGCATCTGATCAAAATCTGATCCCACTCGCCATCTTCAGGCTGGTGCTTCCAGGTCACCATACAGCCCATGACCCAGGTCATTACGACCCAGGAGATTACAGCACAAGACCCAGGATGTCAAAACAATAGAACTCAAAAGGTCATCACACAGCCCATTACCCAGGTCGTTACAACACAGGAGGCTGATAGACACACAGCCAATACCTCAGTTACACATGTTCTTACGAAAAAGCCAGCCAATCTGCAAACATCAACTCCATCAACCAATCAAGAAATGACAACACAGCCGACCAGACCTTAGAGGGCGGAGCTGGCGTCGCAACGATACGGTATGCGATCTTGGAGGTCTGAGATCGCTGCCAATATCTTTGCTCCTGAACGGTCCATTTGGATCTAAACCGTCCCGAAGAGACGGTGAATGCAAAGAGCGCATCCTGTCAATCCCAGGGATACCGCAAAGTCCCTGGTAGATCCAGGAGAAGCTCTTTTTGCCAGCAGCAAAGAGGCAGCCATTAAAGCTGCTGAAGTTGGGACAGCTCCAAAACGAAAGAGAACAGAAAGAGAAAGTGTGCCGGTTTGGTGAGAACCTTTTCTTTAAGATTTGAAAGGACACCCTAAGGAAAAGAATGAATCTGTAAAAGTTTTGACAGAAGTGATTAAGCGGCGATTTTAAACAGGAATGTCAAAGTAATTTTTCCCCTTATTGCTGGATTTTCTACATAGGATTTTATATTTTGAAACTGGACTGTTGTTTTTTTCTTCTTCCACTTACTCTTTCTCTTCTTTTTGATTTTATAATATTTTAGGCTAGAGACTCCCTTTTAGTTATCTTTTTTAATATCTTTTTCCCTTTTTAATTAATTTTCATTATATTTTGTTTGGAAAAGGAGGGGGAAAGTGAAAGCAAAAGAAACTCTGTAACACTGCCAACTAGAGGCTTGGAAATATTTTATTTCTTTTTCTTAACCAGACAAAGCTGAGAAAGAACTGAGACTTCTTTTCAAAGACATTGCCTGCTTGATAAGATAGAGGGAAGAGCATGGGAGAGTATTATTGCAGATGGTCTTCTGGATTTCTATCAACCACTGAAGTCTGGTGTTGAAGCTTATCGGGGAAAAAAAGGTGGTAAGATTCTGGAGAGTTAAAAATCTTAACAAAAGCCTTGGACAATTTAACAAAGTACAGTGTGCTCTTTTCATCCTTTTTTAAGCTGTGCTATTTCTTACTTTAACAAACCCCCTCCTTTCTAGCTTACTTTTCGTAATAACTATTTGGATTTTTGGCCTTTTAGAACTTGATTTTTGTCTTTCCTTTTGTCTTTTGAAGTCAAATTTTTATGTTTGCATTTTATTTTAAAGGTAAAGCTTCAGTATTTGATTTCCCTCCCTTTTTTTTAAGGGAGTAGTCTCTTTTCTTTTTTCTCTCTCCCTCCCTTGTATTTTTTTTTTCTATTTACCTTACATATTGGTGTTTTATTTTTGTGTTTTTCTTTTTCTTCTTATGTATCCTTTTATACCTGAGACCTCTTAATTGGATTAAAGTGTTGAAGAACCTGAAGAACTTTTCTTTTCTCCTTTTTAGTTTTTTACCTTTTACTTTTCCGCCTTTTTTAGGATTTAACAATTTTTTCTCTTTTGTGTTTATGCTCTTTTCTTCCATTTTTGAGTTTTTACTGATATCTAACCAATCGACTGGATTAAGGTATACAAGAACCTGAAGAATTTATTGTTGTTGTTGTTGTTATTATTATTATCGCTACTATTTGGCTTCTTTTTTCCCACTATTTTTATTTGGAATTGCAATTGGTTATTTCACAAGTGGATTAAGGTCTACAAGAACCTGAAGATTTTGAATTTTCTGAAATGAGTAGGAAACTAACAGCCCCTGGTTCCTCAACTTCTACTTCTTCCTCTCCACCATCTGGAGGACAACGTTCAATACAGACAATATTACAGCAAGAACAAGAACAGGAAAAAGTGACCCTGCAGATGATTATGCAAGGAATTCAAAACATACAAATAAGAACAGAGAATATCGAAAAGAGAACAGAGAACATTGAACAAAAAACAGGGAAAACTGATGAAAAAGTGGAGAAAATTCAACAAATGATGATGAAGTACGATGAGAGATTCAAAAAAATTGAAGAAGATAAACCAAGAGATAAGAAGATTGGAGACATTGATAGCAGATTAACTGTGGCTGAACAAGATAAAAGTGGGATGCTGAGATGGGAGATGGACAGATCAGAATTTTATCTTAGATTCCAAAACATAGAGGAAGAAAAAGGACAAAATCTAGCTGAGATAATGATAGAAATATTGGCTGAAGCCTTGGAAATAACTGAAGAGAAGATGATGGATGGAATAGATGAGGTCTCTCGAGTCTTCACAAGATATGCAATGAGAAATAGCTTACCAAGAGAAGTTCACATTAGATTTACAAAGAAAGCCATTAAAACGCAAATACTGCAAGTGGCAAGAGAAAAAACATTGAAATATAAAGATAAGGAGATTGTCGTTCTGAGACAAGTACCCAGAAGAGTGAGAGAGATGAGAAGAGAATACCGATTTCTGACCAAAATGTTACTTAAAAAAGAGGTAAATTATAGATGGCTGATTCCAGAAGGTTTAATGTTCACATGGCAAGAACAGAGACACAGAATTGACTCAATTGAGAAAGCTGAATCATTTTACACAGAATTTTTTGGAGGGAAAGAGGAAGAGGCAGAAAAAAAATCTCAATAATTGAATTCCAAGAGGATTGCCAAATGGCGATTGAAAAAGAAGAAAGTGCAGCAGGTGGAAAGGTGGAAGCCAAAGAACAACGTGAACCAAGATCTACGAGAGCTGCTAAACCTAACTACAAAATATAACCATGGAAGAGAAAAAACTGATTACAATTAATATAAACAGACTTAACTCAAATGTTAAAAGAAGGAAAACTTTCCATAAATTAGAGAAATTAAAATTTGATATAATCTGCCTACAAGAAGTACATATCAAAAAGCAACATGAACAATTGTTGATACAGCCAAAGTTAGGGAAAATATTTTCTTCTTTGACACAATGCAAGAAAAGAGGAGTGGCTTTATACATTAAAGATATTATCCCAGCGAAATTGATCTATACTGATGACGATGGAAGAATACTAATGGTGGAAATAATGGACAATAATATGAAAACACTCCAGATTGCAATCTATGCCCCGAATGACAATCAAGAAGAATTTTATAGAAAATTACATATGAAAATAATTGAACTGGACTATGCTAATATAGTTATGATGGGAAACTTTAATGGAATTGTAGATAATTGGACTATACAAGCAAAGAAAACGACAAAGCAAAACAGAAAGACTTTCCCTAAATCTTTTTTTTAAATGATAGATGAAATAAATTTAAAAGATACATGGAGAGAAAGAAATGCTAAGACTAAACAATACATCTTCTATTCAAACAGACATTTATCATGGTCCAGAATAGATATGATATGGATGTCAACAGAATTGTTAGCTAATATCCAAGAAATAAATATTGAAACAAATACTTGGGCAGATCACAATCCAATGACAATTAAATGGAAAGGACAAAGAAGAAGATCTAGATGGATGTTAAATAATACTATTTTAAAGGAAAAAGACTTCACACAGTGGATGGAGAAAGAACTGGCCTTTTTCTTTAGAGAAAACAAAAAAGAAGATACATCAATCCAGAATGTATGGGATACAATGAAGGCGTATGCCAGAGGCTTGATAATAGACTATAGAAGGAAAAGATATACCATGAAAAGACTAGCCTCTAAGGCATTAGAGGATGAGTATAAAGGACTTGAAAAAGAGCTACAGAAAAAGGACATTAAGTTAAAAATTGACGTAATTAAACATAAAATGGGACTAATGGAAAAAGAAGAACTAGCATAGAAAATCAGAGGTGCGAAACAGAACTATTTTGAAGATGCAAATAAACCAGGTAGATGGTTAGCATATAAATTGAGAAAGGAGAAGGAATCAAGGAAAATATTGCAGTTAATAGATGACCAAGGCCAAGTTTGCTATGATAGAAAAGAGAAGAAGGAAATTATACGAAACTATTATGGGAAACTATACACATAAGAGAATATTGATGAGGAAAGAGTTAAACAGTACTTACAGAATGCTAATCTACCCCAGATACCCAAAGAGATTGAAACAATGTTAGAAAGCAATATAACGATGATGGAGTTAACTGAAGCACTTAAGAAACAAAACAATGGAAACGCACCAGGCCCAGATGGATTTCCGGCAGAATTTTATAAAACACTACAAGAATTGTTGAACCTTCCATTGCTAGAAGTTATGAATGAAGTTATGTTAAAGAAGAAGATACCCAAATCATGGTCAGAAGCTTATATTACACTTGTCCCAAAAGAGGAGGCCGATCCATTACAAATCAAGAACTATAGACCTATTTCCTTACTAAACACAGATTATAAAGTTTTCTTCAATATTTGCAGAAAGACTTAAAAAATACCTACATAATTTTATCCACCCTGATCAAAATGGATTTCTGCCAAAGAGACAAATTAAAGACAATATGAGAGTAATCTTGGACACTTTGGAATATTACAAGGCACATCCTGAAAAACAAATGGCTTTGATATTTTTAGATGCACAGAAGGCATTTGATAATGTGAATTGGCGATTCATGTTACTAGAGTTGGAACAGATGGGCTTTGGTAAAAAATTTATCCAAGCAATAGAAGCTATATATCATAACCAAACGACAAAGGTAACAATAGAGGGAGAACTGACAGACTATTGATATAAGAAAAGGACCAAGACAAGGGTGCCCACTGTCACCTTTGTTATTTGTGTTAACCTTGGAAGTGTTAAACAGAAATATTAGAGAAGAAAAGGATATAAAAGGGATGAAAATTAAAAAGGAAGAATTTAAGTTGCAAGCATTCGCAGATGATCCGGTTTTCATTTTAGAAGACCCACTAGAAACAGCATCAAAATTGATAGAAAAGATAGGAGGTATATGGAAAGGTGGCTGGTTTGAAAATAAATAAAGATAAGACAAAGAATATGCTATCAAGACAAAAGGAAGAACTGACAGATCTATTGAAAATTCAGGTCACGAATAAGATTAAGTACTTGGGGATACATTTGACAGCAAGATGCAGTACACTAAAAGAGAATAATTATATCAAACTTAAGCAACAGATAGCATTAGATTTGGTGAAATGGGAAAATTTACAACTGTCATTAATAGGGAGAATATCAACAATCAAGATGAATATATTACCCAGAATTTTATATTTGTTCCAAACAATTCAAATTAGGCTTGGAAAAGATTACTTTGAAGATTTAAACAAAATTGTGTTGAAATATATACGGCAAGGTAAGAAAGCGAGAATAAAGCTAAAACTTTTGCAAGATGCTAGAATAAGAGGATTTGGTTTGCCTAATTGGGAGTTGTACTACCAAGCTACAAATTTGATGTGGGTTAAGGAATGGATAACATTAAGAAATACTAGATTGTTGACATTAGAAGGACATGATCTGTTGTTGGGGTGGCATGCTTTTCTGTGATATAAAGGAACTAAATCACAGAGGTATTTTAGAATACATTATATACGGTAGTCTCTGTGCTTAAACTGGGAGAAGACTAAAAGACAATGTTATTTGAAAATTCCAGTCCGGCTATCAACTATTGAAGCATTTTCTTATCCTATAATATATAAAAAGGAACAGTTAGATATGTTGAAATATTGAATGAAAAGGGTGAACTTAAATCTATACAAAAATTAGAGGAACAAGGTATAAAGATGAATTGGTTTTCATACGCGCAAATACATTCAAGGTATGACAAAGACTCTAAAACAGAAGGTTTCTATGATAAATCGACTGATTTAGATAAGATTTTGACAGGTACTGATGAAAAGGTGATTAAAAAAATGTAAGGATATTTATTAGAAATTAAACTAGAAGAAGAACAAGTTGAAGAAACTATGATTGCTTGGGGGAAGAATTTTGGATATGGGATTGATCTAGAGAAATGGCAAAAACTGTGGTCTCAAAATTATAAAATGACAGCATATAAAGAAAATTTGTATAAGATGTTTTACAGGTGGCATTTCCCCCCGACAAGAATAGCAAGAATGTTCAAGAACAAATCTGAAAAATGTTGGAAATGTCATCAGATTCCTGGCTCATATTACCATATGTGGTGGACTTGTACGGATGCTAAAAAATATTGGACTAAAATCCACACATGGTTGGAAAGAATGACAAAAAAGCATATAGATTTGAAACTAGAGATATTTTTTATTGGGAATTTTACCTGAAATATATAGTAAAGAATTGAAATGCCTGATTGTAAATGTATTAACAGCGGCTAGGATTGTATTTGCTAAAAATTGGAAAAATGAGAAAATACCATCACCGGAGGAAATCATTAAGAAAATATTGGAATGTGCTGAAATGAGTAGATTGACATTTGAAATCAGAGAACAAGATGATAAACAATTTTATAAAATTTGGGATCTATTCTATCAATGCTTAGACAATAAAACATGGTAATGAAATATGTAGTTTTTTAGGAAAATAATAAATATATAAAGAGGTATTCTCTTCTTATTATATCTACAAGATGATTGTAGGATAGATTTGAGATGATAATATGAACTGTCATGAAACAATTTAAGTTAAACATGATTATTTCGTAAAACATGAATGAATAAAAGTATGGTCAAATGATTAACAATGATATTAATGTATTTAATACTTGATTGAAAATATGAGAATATATACAATTGTAATTGAAGACTATGAAATGGAAGCACAAAACAATTTGTAAACCAACTGGCACAATGTATGTATATATAGGGAAGATGGCTTGATGTTTTTTTGTTTTGTTTGTCTATGTTTGTTTTAAAAACCAATAAAAATAAAAAATAAAAAGAAATGACAACACAGCCAACCTCCCCACCAGTGTATATAGGGAGACGGCAGCTCCAATCACACCTTGCTTGCACAAGCACGAAGCCGAAAGCACCAGCCTGAAGATGGCGGGTGGGAACTCGTTGAAACGTTGCCAAGATGCTCTCAATCTTACATATATGTGTGTGTGTGTGTGTGTGTGTGTGTGTGTGTGTGTGTTTTCTTAAGTTTTCGCAGGTACTTACATGTATGGTATTCAGCTTTGTTCGGGCATTTTCCCACGTCATTATAGTTGTGCTTTTAAAGTTGTAGCAATGTTTCAGCAGAATCTCATCTGTCATGATAGCTGATGAGATTCTGCCAAAACATTTGCTACAATTTTAAAAACACAACTATAATGACGTGGGAAAATACCCAAACAAAGCTGAATACCATACATTTATATATATATATATATATGTGACTTCCCTTTTCTTTTTTCTTTCTATAATTCATAAAATTAATATCACCATTATTATCATCTTACCTGGGCCTTTGGATTGTGATTTAGCAGATCCAGAAATGGAGCTAGAGCATAAATATCTGGTTCTCTGGAAAAACAGTCTTTCTGTGAATGTTTCATAAACACTGTTCTTGTATTTATAGTGCACCAAGCCCACTGGAAAGCACTGAAGTTAAAAATAATCTCCACATCTTCAGAAAATAAAGGCTGCAAAGAAGAGAAAAATCGCTTTGAAGAAGCAAAAAGGTCCTGGATCAATGATCGTTGCTCGAGAGCCTTTCTTCTCAAGGGCTCAGGGAAAAGGTTCAGTGTTTCTTGTTCCAAATAAATAGGACAGGTATATGTTTCAGGTAAGAGATCCAGGTATGGTTTCCACACAGATTTCCTATGGAACCACTTCTCTGTTATTAAAAAGGAACATAATGCTATCACAGGAGAAATTGGAGGCTTCCATCTGTTGAAAAGGCAAAGGGAAGCATAGTAACTACATTTTGATAATCACAGTTCTTAACCAAATTTCTGAGTTTTATCATTATACATGAAGTAAAATCAGAAAGCTCTCACCCACATGGTATGAAATTGAAAGAAGTAAGAACAGCTTGAAAATTAAATGAATGCAATATTGGGGTCAATGGTCTAATCATACAGCACCCAACCAGAGATGCCTGGGATGCCACAAGCCATGAGCTTAACAGAAGTTCTCCAATAATTAAGTAAATAGTCTCTGATAATGGAAGTAATGCATACTCTTTTGGACACTTAAGACTCTTGCTAAAGATTCTTCCAGGTCAAGCTCCATTCCTAGCGATTTAATGGACATAACTGCAGAAGGCAGTTTTCCTGTCATAACGTTCGGAGGTTTGCCACTCCTGGCCTTCTAGGGCTAAGAGAGAGTGACTAGTCACACAAGTGGTTTTATGCCTGAGACTAGACTCTTCTAGTTTATAACCTGATGCCCTAATCACTACACCAACCTCACCATTTAAAGTAATGTTTTTTCTGTCTTGAATTTCACACTATTTGCCTTCATTGGATGACTCTGCACTGTCTATTTTGACAAAAAGAGAAAAAAAGGTCCATATCCATTGCTGTCATGTCTTGTATCAGTTTACCCATTCCTATCACATTCTGCTTATTCATCATTCTTCTAATCTAGAAAGCAACAAACACTGTAACCTTTCTGCCATAAATGTTTAACCATTTCAGTATCTTTTCCTGCATCTTTTTAGGTATACCAATTAGAAGATAGAGTAGTTCAATTTATTTAGTGGCCTTTTTTACTGTAGGTTTTCTACTTATTACATCATTTGACTTTCTTACATAAAAACCATTTTAGTGCCCTGAGACACTGCTCACTATTGATAAAATTATCACAATGAATGACTGAAGCATGGGAAAGATATTCCCTGATGTTGCAGACAAAGTGTTAAGCCCTAATCTTGAGGAAATATGGGAACAGAAATATGTGCAGAGTTTATTTCTTTACATAGTACAAAGTACAACATATGGTACAAATAGATCTGTTTCTGTATAAAAGGAAAAGCGTACACAAAGCTTACATACAACAATATTCACAGATGGGAACAGAGAGCTCTCAGACTCCCAGAACATTCTGGCTCTGACTTAGGTCATTCTTAAACAAAGGAAATATATAAACAGATTCTGCTATTATTCATCAAAAGATACAATGCTATCATTTGAGAACTGGAACTTTTTTTAACCACATACACCAAGGCTTTTCATAACAAAATATGTGCTGTTCAGTTAAAAAATGCAAACATGCCTCTTATCATCCAGCAAACTACTATGTGAATGCCCATTTTTAATAAAGAGGTTGGATTCTCTATTTTTTTTCTGACTTCAGAGTTTAATTCCTCACGCGTGGAGATGGAATTTATGGGTGCATATGATGTCTCTGCAAAGAGATTACTAAATCAAGATAATGCTTTATTATACAATAAATATATCATTTTATTTGTTTTAAAGAAACACATGGCTAATTTGCAATTTATCTGGAAGAAGATCTCTTATTTTATCCTTCTAAATCAATCACTCAACTACCTCTAATTCCCCAAACATTCTCTATTTTTTTTAATTATGAAGCTTAATTAATGACATCAATTCTAACAAAAATGCATACTGTACATAATTCCCCAATTGATCAATTTTGTTCAACGTAATGGAACTGTTCAGATCAGAAGTATAAGTTTAAGTGATAAGAGCTTTTGAAATGTCAATGTGCAAATTTGAGGATTTTATTAAGTGGTGACCAACTTACTTTAAAATGTATTCTCTGAGGTAACTGTTCAGTACAGTATTGGAAGTAAGCAAGCAGTTTTCAGGCAAAGAAATAATCAATTCTTCAGCCTATGAAATGTTTAAAAAAACAGAAGGAATATACTGGAAAAAAGTACTCAAATCATACTTTATTATGCACTGAAGTTAAAAAAAAAAGAACACACTCGCTATATCCAACCAAGGCACTCTGCAATTAATTAATTGCTACTTTTAAAATAAGCAGATTGCATATCAATTGCACATCAATTGCAGAGGAGGCACAAGTAAGGATTAGGTCATTTTATCTTTGATGATCCTTTGGAAATTCACTTTGGAAGCAACCCTGATCCCCACCAAAGACAGGCTAAGGAGAGTTAAAACAGAAGAGTACCATTCCTTGGCAGAAGCTCTAACAGTATAATAACCCTGGTAATCCTATGAGAAACTCTACAAGTGTGCACCTATTATTATATCTAACTCTCAAAAATGAAATATACCAAAGAAAGTGAAAAAAATAGCTATGGATTCAAAACATCCCAAATCCTTAATGTACCTAGATTGTACTGCAAATCTAGCATTAATTTACCACAGCATTGACTATAAATGGAGAGTAGAAGACAAAAAACATTCAGAAACATAAACTTTGCAATGAGAATAAAGTGCTTCACAGGTACATCTCCTGTTCTTGTAAATAACTGGATGGAAGCAGCAATGTATAGGTACAATGAAGTTCAGTTTACATTACAATAACACTGGGGATATTTTAAAAATTGCTGGGCCTACTCAAAACACTAAACCAAAATTCTATAATACCAAAAAAAAGCTATATCTAACCTGGTGTTGTCCAAATATGTTAGATTAGAGAATCTTCTTCCTATCATCTGGCAATCACAGGAATTTAAATCCCAAACCAACCAGGTTTTGGAAACGTAACTACAACCACATAAATCCAGCCTACCCAGAGTCTCTGGAGTCCCTGCTCATAAGCCCTTCATCAAAACCTAGATACTAGCCTAAACCACTAGTATTAAATATAATTTATAAATTCAGCATAAAGTCAGAAGGAAAAATTAAATAATATACATTACATGAAAATACAGAATAATATAATTTCTCATATCCTCATGGTTACATAGTTTCATCTGTTTATTCATAGAAGTACTCACAAACCTGAAGTGTTTTTGTGGTCATCAATCCCCTTCCTGTTTCTAGAAGATATAGGAGGAAGAGGAAGATGCAATTAAGTATAATACTGTTGGTTTCTTAGACAGTTATAATAGACTACTTAACATAAAAATATGGAGTGACGAATATAGAAATTATTTAAGTCAAAACTTTTTTTTAAATCTTGCAACCCCTTTTGGAAGCTTGAGAGGAAGTACTGTTGTAGTCCCCCAAGAAATACAATTATGTTGTCAATTTACAATCTTCATAATGATATATATAATTATATTCAATATAATTCAATAAAATTCAGCATGAACACATAGACATATCCAAGGGCAGAAATCAAGTATGGGATCTGATCAAGCATTTTTTTGTATAGATTCAAGCATTGAGGAGATTTTTTAAATCCACAAATGAGATCCTTACAGCTGCAAGCTAAGAACTTTGGTTTTAAAAAGGCTAAAGCTGTGATGGTGAACCTATGGTACTTGTACCAGAAGTGGCGCACGCAGGCATCACACGCAGGCACCCCAGATCAGGTACAATGCACATGTGCACATGCCTCTCGCCAGCCAGCTGATCGTCAGGTATCTGCCGTGCATGTGCAGAGGGCGGGTTGCGCAGGGGAGTAGCGTGCACACGCGTAGGGGCGGGGGAGGTCACATGCGCATTGCATTATGGGTGCAGGTAAACTCACTTTCAGCACACAATGACAAAACGGTTAGCTATTACTGGGCTAACTATTGCTGGGACAAAGTTGCTTCCCTGACAAATTTTCTAGCAAAAGAAAACTGAGAAAGGAAAAGAGTTTATAGTTTTAAATTTCTAAGAACTCATATTTCCCACAACCTTACTTGGTAGGTCCACACTATGGCCACTGCAAAGAAGGCCCAACAGAGCTTGCACTTTCTGAAGCTGCTGAAAAAGAGTGGTCTAGGTGAGAAGTTGCTAGTTACTTTCTACCATTCAACCTTCAAGAGCATTTTGGCATACGGTGTAACAGTGTGGTATGCTGGATAAGAAGATGCTCCAGAGAGCACAAAAAATCATTGCTCTCTTTCTTCTTTGGAAAAGATTGCGAAGATTGTGAAGACCAGACTCCTCTCTAGAGCAGGGGTCCCCAACCACCGGTCCGCGGACCAGTACCGGTCCATGGATCATTTGGGACCGGGCCGCCTACTTTGCTTCGGTGCCATCTTGTTCCAACGTGCTGGATCAAGCACTGGTTTTGATGCCATCCCTCAGCCTCGCTCGACCAAAAATGTCAGCTCCACACCGTGCGTGGCTGGAGAAAAGGGGAACGTGGTAGCCGCGGAGAAGCTGCTCTCCCTAAGGAGGCTCCTGATTTGCTGGGCTTACGCCAGGACTTCTGCGAGGCTACGCTGCCACTGATTGCCTCGATCCCAGCCTGCACGAACTGCCCTCGCCCTCTTCGGAAGCGGCTGGCGACCTGGTCAAGGCTCTGGTGAAGTTCTTTGATCACCTCACCGACACGCGGCTACAGGCCACTCAGGTGAGCAGCAGGAAAAGGGAGCTGGGCAGCCACAGACCAGCCGTCTCTCCGTCTGACGGCCTCGGCTCTCTGCCTCCCAGCGTGCTTGGTCCTCCGCCCGCAGGCTTCCCCGGCCCCTTGCCAAGCAGGTTTTCCATCCCAGCCTGGTAGGGCCTTCGCTGCCTTCCCCTCGCCTGGCTGGCCGGGCTCCTTGGGCAACCCGGCTGCCTTGTGCCGAGAAGCGCGCTGCCAGGCGGGAGCCACGCGGCGCAGGGCAACAGGCCACCGCCCGGCCCTGGCGAGGGAAAGCAGCGGGCGCTCCCCGGGCGGCGGCCTTGGCCCCGCCACCAGGGAAGCAACTGCCCAGCTCCGGAGCTGATCCACACCTGACCAGCTGGAAAGGAAGGGTGTGTAGCGTTGGTGTTGTGTGTGTAATTTCTTGGCACGCGGCGCGGGGTCTTTTCTGGCCGGCCCCGATTTTTTTTTTCAGAGGAGAATATCATGCCTGCATTAACCATGATTATTAAATCCAATCCAACTTTGATTATAATTAAATTAAGTCATAACTAGCTTTTCAATGAGTGGAATATATAATATAATATAATATAATAAAATAAAATAAAATAAAATAAATAAATTAAAAATTTAAAAAAAAACCTAACCGGTCCTTGAAAAAGTGTTTCTGCATGAAACCGGTCCCTGGTACAAAAAAGGTTGGGGACCACTGCTCTAGAGCACTAAAAATCTTCAGACCGTTCTCATCCTGGTCATTCATATTTTGAACTGTTACCATCAGGGAGACGTTATAAGTGTCTTAAAAGGAGGACTAATAGACCGAGAAACAGTTTCTTTTCCAAGGCTATAATTGTCTTGAATCAAACAGCGCATTTATGATCTAGTCCTATGTATATAGTGGCATTTTAAACTATTTAACTTACTAAATGTTTTAACTTACTAAATGTTTTTAATTATTATTATTTTAATTATTTTAATTTTTAAATACTTGTAGTGTGATTGTGATGTGGTGTTTGGGGCACTGTGCTAGAGTACCTTTCAAATTTCATTGTATTCGTGGAATGCAATGACAATAAAGGTAAATTCTAATTCTAAATTCTAGATAAGAACTGGCCTGGCTGCATAAAAGCTACATCCCTACATAGCCAAAAGCAGACTGCTTTTGTGAATGATTGATCCCTTTCACCTTCCTTGCTTTTAATAGAAAAAATGAACTAAACTCAGAGATCTGTCTAAAGGTCACTGCTCTTTAGATACTGTAGGAGCTAAAACAAGACTTTGCTACTTTCTTCAGCACTGGAAAGGATACTGCCATTTCTGCTAAGATCCCTAATAAATGTGAAGTACATTCTGAATTAGCTGGCAATCCAAATCATGATATGAATTCCTGCTCATATACCTCCATTGATCAATCTCACTGCTTTACCAGCCAATCTGCCTAAAATGCACATCCCACTCAAATGAGTCTCTCCATTCTTATTGAATAATACTCTCTTAAGTTTCCTAATAAAGACTATGCACAAATCAAGAACATTCAACCTGATACCTCTTCCCCCAACAAGATGATCTAAAACTCTGCCATCACATCCAAGTCAAAAGAAAGATGGGTTTTTAGGGGGTATTAATATCCCATTATGACACATTCATAATGTGTCTATCTTTAAACATACCTAACTAATGACAGTAGTCTCTAATCCAACTAATTCAGTTAAATTTCTTGTGTGATAAAAATCTATTTTACACTGAAATAACTGTATTAACTGTATTCCTCATAACTCAGGAATCCTAGAATGGAAGGAAAAAGTAATCATTTGAAATTAAAGAAACCATTACTTATTAACATCACTTGTTAATAAATGTATGTGGCTTCTTTGTGGCTGTTCACATTTGGATAAAAAGTTAGCACATTTCTTGCAAACTTTCACTAATAAAACTTCTAGAAAAGTTATTAGAACATTACCTGAAAACACTGCTGGAGTTAAATTATTATTCTTGTAGCCTTTTTCTTTCAACCACTTCTTGAGAATTATATATTCATTTTTATAACTCAAATTTACTAAACAAGAAAGAAAATAATCACATATCATATAAAAAAATAAATTTTGTATTAATACATCACTGAACTAGGAGTATCATATAAACTATAAAATTAACTATGGTAAAGGCAATCCAACATCAGTGCAACAAAACGAATACCTAATAGAAATGAGATATGATTTAAGGATGAATAAAATTAAAATCATTTAAATTTTATAGACACAATCCTGTAGAAATCATTACTAAAAAACCAAAATATGTGCGTCTGTATGTTAGTAAGAGCCTGTTTTGCCTAAATGGTTAAGGTGCTGGCTTAGAAAGCAAGAGACTTTGAATTCTAGACCAGCCTTAGGCATAAAAGCCAACTGGATGGCTCTGGTCTAGTTATGCTCTCTTAGCCCAGCCCAGCTCACAGGTTTGTTGTAGGGAAAATAGGAAGGAGGAGTATTATGTTCACTGCCTTATATTAAAGGCAGGATAAAAATCAAATACAAATATACATGTATACATACCGGTACATAAGTAAATAAAATGGTTAATTATATTACCATTACTTGAAGAAAAAGCTGTAGATTGTTTTCTGTGTCTCTTTCGGTAAGTTCGACCTCTGCCTTTCTTCATTTTAAAATTATTTGGAAATTTGTGCAGAAACTGAAAATAGAAAAGCAAACTAAATTCTTAAAATCAATTATTTCAATTGCAGAAATGTCATGCCTCATTTTTACAAGTATGTCAGTAAGACACTTGCATATGGTATATTCATATATGTATATTGTATTTAACACTTGGAAAATCAAAAATGCGAAGGAATAAGAACCAAAATATGTCCAACATAATACTTCGGACAGTCAGCCAGACATTAGGTTGCTGGTGAGGACATATCTCTAGGGAACAACATCGGAAGTACTCTCAGTCTCCAATATGTCTATGGATCCTCAATCTGTTTGACCACTGAAGGAAGCATTTTGCCAACTTTGGCTTAGTTTGCTGTAAAATAGGGTAAAACCTATGATACTGCAAGTATCTTCTAAACAATTCCTTTAGTCACATCTACCAAGAGTTGCATAGCTCTTAATACTATTAAGTATGCTATTTGTGGCTTAAACAGGAAGAATTACCGAAAATATAAACTTTTAAAACAAAATATATTAAGATTCACATTTGACTAACCACAATTCCAAATGGGCTCAGAGAGGCATTTCACTCAGTAAATCTATGGAGTATTATAATCTCTTTAGGAATAAACCATCCAGAATTTGATAGGAACAATTCTTGAGATAAGAATTAGGAACGGGCTGCAAGATATTATTTCCACGCTACCTTCAAGTCTCCCGCAGCCAATTCGCGCTTTAATATCCCCAACCTACAACCACGTTTTTCCTTTCCGACTTCAGCTATCTTGTACTTTCAAACCCAGAAGTCACCAGGCTTTACTCAGGCGTCAAGAAAGCGGAAAAGGCGATCCTCAGCCAATTGCCGATTAAGAGAAAGCAAGGTGGGCGGTAAGTAGGTTTCCCATTGGATGAAGAGGTGGCTCCTCTTCTCCTACTACTCTGGGGAGAACTGCTACCGCTCTTCACGCGGCTGAGAAAGGTAGGGGAGAATTGTGGCTAAATTCTTTTAAAATGCTTTTCCTTCACTCCCTTCCCTTCTCCCTCTCAACCTGCCGCAGGATTTTATTCTCCAACGCGCATTTCTAACTAAATAGATTCTTGCTTTTAAAGGATTCAGTAGTAGGTAAAAGCTTTAAAATCTGATATACCATAATTCTGGTATGTGGTTGGTTTTTCAAAATTTTCTATCATCTGCTCAAGGATTCCGACTGTTTTATTCTTTATATACACTCTTGGCAATATAAGAAATAAATGAAAATAAATGAAACGGGAGGAGTGTTGTGTATAATTATATAACCTTGCAACCCAGGAGAGTCGAGTCTTCCTTGGTGATTGGGGCGTACATCGAATTTGCACGCTTTTATAAATTTCCGACCTTCAGGACTTTTTTTATTCTGAATTTCTCGTTGTTTTGTGTGGCTTGAGTTTGACTGTGTAGTGAGTGGTTTATAAAACGTGTTTTAATGCTGAACACATTAAATGAGTTCATTTAATTGAACTGCACGATCGCCATGGAAAAAAATCTAGGAGTAGAAAATGACTTGTTAGCATATACTGTAATCAAAATGTTAAGTAATCCTCTCGACAATCCACTGGGTTGAAAGTTCTACTCTATCTAGTCTGCCCTTTAATATTGTTAGTGAAGAATAGTTTTTACTTTAGTTTTTAATTTCACCTTTATTATTTTTACCAATAATTCCAAGTGCTACTTGAGTTATAACTAGTACTCCTTCCTCCTCCCCACAATAGCAACCCTGTTAGGTGAGTTGGGTTGAGAGTGTGACTGGCCCAAATTACTTAGCTGGCTTTCATATGTAAGCAAACTCACTCACCCCTTGTGCCTTAACCACTAGAACAGACTGGCTCTGTAATTGAAACAAATTCGCTCAGTTTTAATAATAGTCAAGTTTTACATTGTGCACCTAAACTGTCCTATAATACATTTGAAACATATTACATTAAAAGTATAGTCCCGATTATTTCTACAGTTGTCCTACTCCACACCTCAGATACTACTAGGCTGAGTTTGAATTAGAAGCATGGCATTGAATATTAAAACAATGTTTAAAAACTATTTAAAAATAGCAAATTAAATCACTTAAGATTTTTTAGAAAAACTTCAATTTGTTAAGTGTTTTCTGCTTATACATTTTGGCATTTAATTATAGGCAAAATGTCTAGTACAAAAGTAGCTGTGGTAACTGGATCCAACAAAGGCATTGGTCTGGCTATTGTGAGAGCCCTGTGCAAGCAGTTCTCTGGGGATGTGTATTTGACTGCTCGGAACCCTGAACGAGGCAAAGCAGCAGTGACACAACTGTCAGGAGAAGGATTAAAACCACTTTTCCACCAATTGGATATTACTGATCTGGAGAGTATCCAAACTCTCCGTGATTTCCTCAAGGAAAAATATGGAGGATTGGATGTGCTAGTCAACAATGCTGGAATTGCTTTCAAAGGTAACCTAAATGTAAATCACTGAATGTTGAAATTGGGTGAACAACAAGGTGAAAGGTTTTGGCTACAACTCTGTAGAAAGTAAAATTGCAACTAATGTTTTTTGCAGGTCTTTCAGGTTTTTTTCTGTTGGGAAGGTGAATGTGTAGCAAAAGTGTGCTACACATTTACTATTGGAGTTTATGCATTATAAGTAATAATAAACCATGTGATAGGACAGAAAGACTGAAAAGATGAAACAGATCTCTTCAAAAGAAGAGATGAAAATCAATCAGATTTTCTGGCATTCCCTAGTTTAGTGATATAAGTTACAAATTAAAACTTTAAATCTGTCATTTCAGCTTAAAATGTTTCTGTCCTGTAATTTTATTGGAGAGCAACCATCCCAGATGGGAGATGGGACAAATCAGCCTAGATTTACACAACATAATATACATAACATAAGAGGGCTTTTTGGTCTGATCCCCTCTTGAATGCCTTAGAGCTTTTCTCAGGCAAAAGCTGTCAGTCTGGGGAGCTTCTTGAACAGGTAGTTCTTGTCTTACAACAGGTCATTTTGTGACCATTCAAAGTTACAACAGCATTGAAAAAAGTTACTTATGACAATTTTTCACGCAATTGTTGCAACATTTCCATGGTCAGTGATCAAAATTGAGATGCTTGGCAATTGGTTCATATTTATGAATGTTGCTATGTCCCAAGGTCATGTGATTCCCTTTTGTGACCTTCTGACAAAGTTAATACGGAAGCCATTCAACTTATCTTACTACTTACAATACTTGCAGCAGTGATTCATTTAACAACTGGGGAAAAGATCATAAAATGGGGCAAAATTCACTTAAATGTTTCATTTAGCAACAACCACTTGGGGCTCAGTTGTGGTCGTAAGTCGAGGACTATCAATTATAGGCAGAGAACAATAAAATAGCTAGTATAGATGTAGGTCTGATTATTCATGCCTAACATATATACGGTATCATTTAGTTGTCTTTCAGTAGATCTCTATGTATTTAGCTTGGTTTCCATTTTCAACATTAGAATATCTAGCCTGTATTAGTTTATAGGGTCACATGCATATACAGCTTGTGAGTTCCGGTAGATAACTGACACTTCAATTTCTACCACAATTTGCAGCAAGTCCTATATCTGCATCTTTTTTCCTTGTCCAACTGGAAAGATTGTTATTGTACACAAAATAGAAATATTTAAAATTGTATCTTAATATAATAAGAAAATCTGTAAACCATTATTTGAAACGGAATGGTTTAGGAATTTAGTAGAGATTATTTTAAACTATAGTTTTATACTCGAATACAAATTACAAATGATGGAAGGTAAAATGCTTCATGGTTCTTTTTTTCCAGTTGTGTGAAGAAAAGAGAAAGTGTAAACCAATGTTTGCTTGTTTGTTTGAGTCATAGAGGTTTATACTGTAATTCTGGATCCTGGCTTAATCCTAGTGCAGTATACCTTAAATTAAGATCTGTTCAATTTTAAATATTTCTAGGAATATTTTCTGTTGATTTAAAATATCAGTACATCTTTTTCCTAATTATAATTAAGAGTCATTTTTCATTACAGTATAATATGCACTTTTATCTTGCATGCAGATAAAATAGCTGGTTAGGCTCTCCTAAGTATCCACTTCAATTTTTGCCAGCATCATTCCACTCATGTAATATTTAAACTTTACATCTCTTTGTTATACAATGGTTTCCTATTAAGACTCTTAACTTCTGTTTTCTTCCATTTTGAAAAAAAAAGTTGAAGATACAACCCCATTTGCTGTACAAGCAGAAGTCACAATGAAAACAAACTTTATTGCAACCAGGAATGCTTGCATAGAACTCCTGCCACTATTGAAACCCAATGGTAAGCACACACTGGGGCAGAGTATATTAAAGATTAATCAAGGTTTTTGACAAGTAAAATGCTAAAAAAAAAAACAATAACAGAAAAATACATACGCACAACTCTTCCTAAAGCTCAGCTTTTAAATTCAGTAAATGTCCATGTTTAAGTCATTGTGCTTCTACAAATTTTATAGTTTATATCTCTGATACTAATCTCATTGAAATGAATGGGATTTCCAAATTAATATGTTTAGCTAGTTGATAAATGAAGACACATGAACAGAAAAGAACCTGAGGTGAAGGCTGAGCAAAAACAAAAAACTGTTCAAACCCACTACCTGTTTATTCCTGTGAAATAAAATCATAGAAGAAATACAGTATATTCTGCAACAAACTGTAAATCATAATACTCGTAGATATTTTTGAAATCATTTCTTAAGGAATGTCCTTCAGGTATGGTATGTTGCTACCCAGTACCATTTTTTGAATGGACTTTGAACTATTTTTAATTGGGCTTTTGCTGAATTTTGTTCTGCTTTATAATACTGAATTATTTCTAATCATTTAAATTATTTTATATACATATGAGATCTATGTTAGATGATAGAGTTTGCATGCATCTGCCCTACAGAAAAATCTCTAGGATTCATTTCAATGGATATTGAAAATTCCAGTTTATCCTAAGCTTGGATAAGCTTGGTCAATTTCTGTTTGGAGATATTTTTTTTCCTCCAGTAAATGTTCAAGAAATACATGCTTTAGTTAGCTATCATAGCTTGGTAGAAATAACAGTTACAGGGCAAAACAATCAAGATTGATTGAATTACTGCTCATTAAAATTGTCTACAAATTAACTACTCCATTTGGAAAGTTCAACTGAGTTTCATTTGCATATAGATGACAACCATTATCAGTCACATATGCACTTACAGCTATAATGAAAATCTTAATTGAGTAATCATAAATATATGCATGTTTACATTTATGTAAGCCTATTTATTCAGCATTATTCATTTTTCCAGCATTGAAGAAAGATTCTGTCTATTGAACATTCCAATATTTCAGGATTTTCAGATCCAAAAGAACACCCACAAGTAAAAAAAGGTGGCCCCACATTGTCTTATCTGTAGGATTCAAAATGGGATGGCAGAGCTGATTCACTGATAATTGAGAGAATAAACCCTCCTTTGTGTGCAAATATTATATATATGTTACAAAATAGGGGGAAAAAAAGGTAATTCTTATCCTGTGATATATTCTTTTTTGTCTTGGCATAGGGAGAGTAGTCAATGTATCTAGCATGGTTTCAGTTTCAGCATTGTCCAGATGCAATCAGAATCTACAGCAGAAATTTCGGAGTGACACCATCACCGAAGAGGAGCTAGTGAAACTCATGGAAAAATTTGTGGAAGATACCAAGAAGGGAGTGCATGAGAAGGAAGGGTGGCCAAGTACTGCTTATGGAGTATCCAAAATTGGAGTGACAGTTTTATCAAGAATTCAGGCAAGGCTGCTGAATGAGACAAGAAAAAATGATGGTATTCTTCTGAATGCTTGTTGTCCTGGGTGGGTCAGAACCGATATGGCAGGTCCCAGAGCCACAAAAAGCCCAGATGAGGGAGCTGAGACTCCAGTTTATTTAGCACTTTTACCTCCTGGTGTTACTGAACCCCATGGCCAATTTGTTAGTGAAAAGAAAGTTCAGAAATGGTAACTATGCACCTGCATTACGCTTTTGTATATAAGCTCTGGAAGTTATAGATGCTACAAAGCTCTTTGCTACAAGTATATCCTCTAGCAAACGTGCCAAGCTCCTGTGCCATGGAGGTGAGAATCAACAAACAACGGATTGAAGTAAAAAGCATCCAGTTGCTTAGTAAATTCACTGTATAATCTTCCTCTGAGGGTGACAATTAGTGCTGCATCTTAGTAACAGCCTTAGGGATTCTCACTCTTTTCTAGATACCTAAAAGGTAGCTTTTCAATATTGGCTTCTGAGATAATTCATTCTAAAGATTTTTCAAGCACACATGCATAATCTTTTCTTTTGGTTAATATTGTTTTCTGTAATGTATTAATTGTGTCATTTTGACAACAAATCTTGACAGTAAATAAAATTGATGATTAAATAATTTGGCAGCTATTTATGATTTCTGTACAAATACATTTTCACCCCATTAATCACAAACAACTAGTGGCAGTGTTCTTTTCTAGACTCAATGGGCAGTGTATATTTGTTTTTTTTTAAGCACAGGGATCTCTGGTTTTCCAGTATAGACGAACTAAAGCTCCCAACAACAGTATAAGTGTGACAAATAGTACGAAACTATGAGAATCTGATGCAGCAAAAATCTGAAGAGTTATTTGCCACCCCATCTAAAAAATAGGAAAATTCAAACATGAAAAACAACAATGCACATTGTATAGAAAGTTTAGGATATATACCTTCTCTCCCATCTTTTATATGGATTTATATCATAACCATATATTCCTATATTTTTTTAAAAAATATTGTACTCAAAATTATCTCAAATACCCTGCCACCACAAGTATCAAGTTCTTTTCTAGCAGTCAAATTATGATCACAGCTGAGCCCAGAATTTATGTTGCTAAGTGAGAAATTTGTCCCGTTTTATGACCTTTCTGGCTGTTGTAACTTTGGTCACTAAATGAACTGTTATAAGTCGAGGACTACCAGTATTTAGAAGAAAATAAATATGCTCCACAAATACATTCAAAATACTATGATTGCATAGTATTGTTCTTGGCTTGGGAATTCTGGGAGTTGAAGTCCTCCAGTCTTAAAGTTACTAAGGTTGGAGACCCCTGTGCTATAGTAGTTGCTGGGAGGGGAAAAATCAAGTGTTTTTCTATCCTAGTCTGCAACATAACTTGCTATTTATACAAGAGTTTATGTATTGATTTTATCATCTCTCAGTTTATGTATTGATTTTATCATCTCTCTCTCTAAACTTAGAAGTCACGAGACTTCAAGTAACAAAATACAAAATGTAACGTTTCTGTCGCTGTTCAAGTCCGGAAGTAGATCGGCTGGGTTTAGGGAAGTCTATTTCGAATTATACAGGCCGATACTTTCAATCCCACCTATCGAGACCTGACCTCAACTACTACCGCAGTTCTATCAAAACAACTTTTCACAAATCTGTTGCAATCTCCAATTCCGACAGTAGATGGAACCTAACAACAACAACATCCCCAGAGACACGCTGTACGACTGTACCATCTTTGGGGGGGGGGGGCAAGGGTCGGCGCGTCTTTCTCACCAACTGCTAGCGAATCGGTCTTCGCATCATTAAATTAGGACTCGAAACGATACACGTGTAAGAAACTTCCTTACGGCCTTTCAAAGATTCATCCGTTTGAATCACCATCGCGTTTTCCGCCCCTCCTGACAAATGGTATTTCCCCCAACCTGGCCGCGGAAGAAAAGAAAGAGAAGCGTGACGTTCCCAAATTCAGCCACCCTTGAGCCGCGCCGTTCCGTACTGTACTCCGCTTTTTCCTCCTCCTCCTCCCTCCCACTTACAGTATTTTCCGGCTATTGCCTCAGTCCCGCCCATTCGTGGGACACGTCGCCTCTGCAAGAGGAGCAGCTGTAGAAAGAGCCACAAACGGCGGCGATCCTTTTTCGGACGGTGAGTCGGAAAGAAAGCTGACTGGTTGCTTGACTTGAGGAAATGCAGAAGGTGCCATTTGCTCCTCTTCCTTCTGCTGCAAAGGCGGCTGCGGGATGTATTAGAGAGGTGAGAGACGGGACTCTCCCCCCCTCGCGTGCCTTTCACACAGTGAGACAATCTCCCCCACCCCCACCCCACCTTCTCGTTCTGGGAAAATACGTCGCCTTTCAGTTCAAGGCGTTACTTCCTCTTATGGGAGCAGATGTTATCTCACTCCTGGCCAGTTGCTCCAGAGGACAAACCAAATGGGCGAGGAAGGAGATCTGGGGCGTCCCTTTTCTAAATCTGAGCTCAAAAAAGCGTCCAGGTTATTGCGGCGCATATGTATAATAAACCCTTCCATGCCTTGCCTTTTGTTCTTTGGATACGCGGGTTGGTGATTTCCAAGATTATGCAAGGTGCCTCTTTGACGCTGCTCTGGTACCAGCTGTTTGTGATCGGTTTGTCTATGTTAACAGCTGTTGGGTTTTGTTTGCTTTCTAGGTAGCAGCAGTCTGTCAACAGCAAGGAGAGGAAAGCTCATCACGGGAGGGTTGTTTTTATCTTCTTTAGGTACACACCATTGTTAGCTGCATAATTTATTAGGCTGCCTTTAAAAATGGTTAAAGTCGTTTAAAGAAAAAAAAAACCCTGCTCAATTCAATTAAGCCAGCTCTTTGGAGGATGTGATTTTTGCAGGACTGTTTCCTGAGTGTAAGCAAAATGGACTAAAGTGGGCAAAGAAAATATATTGCAGTTCTACCTAGATGTTAAATTATTGGTCTGCTATTATTCATGAAATAGCACTTCTGCCCTACAGCCAAAACCTCTAATTTAAAGCAGCATTCTATGTCTCTATTTTTTTTAAAAAAAAAATAGTTCAGTGTAGTCTTCCATTTCTTCTTAGTTTTTGCCATCATTAGATAGCTAAATCCAAGATGTGTATGTAGTAGGATGGACAAGTTGGAATTAATTTGTTTTTCTGTCAGTCACGCAGAATAAGTGGCCCTGGGTAGTGTGCATCAATTCTCCAATTAAGCATTTTAATTGTGAAACTCAATACTATCAGTTGTGGCTTTTCATGTTACAGTGTTCAACTGCTAAAAAAGAATGAACATTAATTTGGGGGCATCTATTTAAAATTTAATATAAAAGTAGGTAAGTTACGTTGCAAATAAATAGGGTAATATCGTCCTCATTTTCAAAGTTGTAATTGTGCTGAAAATGAGACTTTTGACCTGACTTCACACATATATTGTTGCAGCATCCCTGTGGCCACTTGATCTGGGTACTTGGCAACCAGAATGTATTTATTATGAGGGTTGTGGCATCTTAGGGTCACACCAGTGGTGCTATTTGACCAGTTCTGGAGAGCTGGTAGGAGCAATGGGCAGCGAAGAATGAACCGATTCTCTCTGCTGCTCTAATGACTCTGCTGTTGGGCCCACTGGTCTGCCCAGGCTCCCATATTCACCTTTATCTGCTGAATTTGAAGCACAGCTGCTTTGCGCAGCACAGAAGAGTGCTGCCCAGCAGCTGCTGAAGCAACTGGGATCATGCAGGCTTGCAGAAAGCAAATTAGAACGCCTCTGCACCTGCGCAAACGCCTCTGTGCCTGTGCAAAGTGCGTGTTTGGTGCGCGCATGCACACAAAGTGTGTGCACGCACGCAAAGCACGCCCACCAAGCCATGCCCACCAAACCAGTGACAACAATATTTGATCCCACCACTGGGTTACACCATCATCATTTGTGACCCTCCCAGTTGGTTTCTAACAAAGCCAATGGGGTAAGTGGCCATGTGATTCGCTTAACAACCATGGCAAAAAGGATGCAAATTCAGTCACAGTCATATGATGATATACTTAATGAATACATCACTTAGCGATAGAAATGCTAGTCCAGTTGTTATAGGTTTTCAGCTCTGGTCCCCACTCTTATGTAAGAGCCGTTCCCACACTTCTGGACTTCCAGAAGAGCCTCAAAATTTGGGTCTGCCACTTGGCCTGCTACGTTGGGAGTGACTGATAGGGTTTAGAAGTTTCTCACACATCCCCAATATGCCTATCATATTTTTTTTGTTTTTTTTTATTCTCACCACCCTCCAAGCTGCCCATCACCTTGCTTTTAATTTTATTTTTTTAAATTAATTGTGTTTGGCATCTTTTAACTTTTTACTATTTTGTAAGCTATCCAGAGCCACAGTATTAGTGAGATGGGCAGCATAGAAATTTAATAAATACCGATAACTTGAGGACTACCTGTGTGTTTACCAAGTATGTAGAGCTTCATTTTTTTAGAATGCAAGAAACTATCGATGTAATAAAGTAAGACTATCATATGTTTATAATAGCAGGATACTAATTAAATTAAAGGCAGATTCCAAAATTATGCTTTTAGGGGTTGTTCATCAGGTGGACGGTACAGCTCTTTACTAGAGCACGTGATCCTGCTTCCAGGACAATGATAACCCTATAGTTGATCACTCAGGCTTCCACGTACTAATTTATTATAGCCATCCCCCTTCATAAGGCTCAGAAAACTTTAAAATCTTAACTATTTTATTAGCTATATCATTTCTAACTCTGCCATGTTCTGAGGCACAGTAATGATAGTGATAGCAGCTCATATGTAAAAAAATTACCTCGTTTCATAATAGTTACTGTGTTTAATAATAATAATAATGTACAATTGCAATGTAAGAACCCTAATAAAACCAATTATTATCAAAAGAACAATGTTATATCCAAAGCAGATAAAAACAGCATTAAAAACCCACAGTTAATGAATGTCATCTCAAAGGCAAAGAGCCTGACCAAGCAGGATTGCCAATAGAAAAGAAAGACCTGGCCAGCTTCTCTAATATCCTGAATTATTAGCAGGTCATTCAGGCCTTATATGAATACTCTTTATTATTTTCCTGTCAAGTAGAGAAAGAACAGCCTTTCCTGAAGAATATATTGGAAAAGTTATCCCTTCAACAAATTTAATTCCAGAATCTGATCTGGAAATCAACTGGCAACCAATGAAATTGTTATAACAAGGGAGCAGTATGTGGTAAATATTTTGCCCATAAGTGTCTGAATTCATAGAAGTTTTTGAAGTTTTCCAGCTATTTAACACATTGTTGAAATCAATTGATATCACCAAATCTACGTATTCCATTTATTTTTGTTTTTTTATAAAAGCACGGACAAACTGTAAATGTGTTTTCAGTCAACCACTTCAATTGTATTCCCTCATCTAGTCAAGTCTCAGTGCCATGCCTACTAGAACGTGACCATAATTCACTCATGCGTGAAAATAAATAAGAGGTTCTCCCTGATACATTGTATTGATTTAAAACATATTTTCCTAAAATTCACATGAGGAAGATGTAAACGATACTTTCTTAAATAATTACATGCTGTACTATCTTAATTTAAGATATCAACTTTTGGTATTGACATTTCATGT